TTTTTATCTCTTTATTCTATAACTTTTGTGTTCCATTTTTCAGACCAGCTGCATTCCTTAGTTCCACAAATTCTGACCTTCTCAGCTAAAATCTGCCATGCCACACACATTGTAGCAAATTACCGTCATACCCTTCATATTCCATTGGCGAAATGTAAGTCCCACTTGAGCAGATTCTTCCCATAAACCACCGCTTTGTAGATGTTGGTTTCAATCCATATTAGGATTTCCTCTCCCTTTTTATAGGCAGAAGCACACAAAATGCATGCTGGGATTTTTTTATAGCCAATAAAATAGGCTGGTTCTCAGTTTATTTTTTTAAATTTTTTTTTAAGCTTTTCACCTCAAGCAAGTCAGGAGAGCCACTAGCATGCAAGGGGTTACAAAGAGTGAGAGCAAGAGTTAAGAGGCGTGATAGAGGAAAGGATGAAGAGAAGGACAGGGAACAGATCAAGGCATCTGGAGATATCAATTGACATTGCATTTGAATAGTTGGAGATTATAGCTATCAGGGAAGCAAGTAAGAGGAAAGGAGTTCCACTGACAGGAAGTGCGAGACATGAAGCTATTGGAGTAGAAGAGACAGCTACATTTAACAGTTTCGACAATGAAAAGGTGGGACTGAGATGCCAACCTAGTCCCACAGTTTAATTCATGCAGTTTGGGAACGAGCGCAAGTTGGGGCAAATGACGGCAGTATTCCATGCTAAGGTGAATGGTTGATTTATAGATTTGAACGATGGACTCAGGTGAGAAAAACTTTCTGGCACGATACAGAGAACCAACTTTCCTTGCGGCAGATGACGTTATTGATTCAATGTATTTGTTCCATCTCAGGTTAGTGGACAGTGTGAGACTAAGCAGTTTGGGAACTAGTGAAAGTAGCTTGTCAGAGCAGTAACCATGAAAGTATTTGTAGAAAAGAAGTGACGGCATGTCTGTGAGAGAGCATATATGACAGCAGTATTCCATGCAAGGGCAAATGGTTGATTTATAGATTTGAAGGATGGACTCAGGGGAGAAAAACTTATCTGACTCAGTCTTGGTCTGTATTGTCTTAATGTCAGAACACTATGTTTGCTTGCCCGAACTTGCTTTTGTGAGTCAATGCCAGTTCTTATTTGTGAACCTCTTGCAATATTACTGTAGCTTTACCTTATTACTGCTAATTTTCCTTGCATATATTTTTTTCTTGCTTTATATTATTATTTATTGCTTCTTTTCTTTTTTTCTTGTGATTACTTTGTCAATTTTTTTTGTTGGACAGTTGTGTTATTTATTTTGCATTTGACCATGGCTACTCACCCCATGGTAGAACTGACTCCTAAGAGGATGCTTCCTAGATCACTACAATCTTAACCTGTTCAAGTCTAGAGTTAACTGTTATCTTCCCCCCACATATCCCCATAAACTGTGCCTCTTACTCTGTAGCCTTCTACCTCCAGTGGCTCTTGTGCCCTGTACATTATTTTAAAAAAATAGATCTATCTGTGTATAACAATTTTGACTATGTCTTTTGATCAATTACCAAAAATCAAATAATCCTAAAACAAATACTGTCTGAATTTCTGGGATGAGGAGTTATCATTATTTACATTTAGACTAATATCCTCATCTTTGTTTTTATTGTCACTTGATTGTCTTCAGATGAGGAGTTATTATATACAGTTAGACTAATATCCTCATCTTTGTTGTTATTATCACTTAGTCGCCTTCAGTTTTGGGGACAAGGAGTTATTATTTATATTCAGACTAATGTCCTTATCTTTGTTTTTATTGTCACTTGATTTTCTTCAGATGAGGAGTTATTATATACAGTTAAACTAATATCCTCATCTTTGTTGTTATTATCACAATGTTTTGGCTGTTGTGCCCGCCAACCTTCTTCAGGTGCTTGAACGATTATTGGGACTCAAGCTCACTCCAAACTTCGAGTGAGACTCAGAAATTTGTGCCATTACAAAAGATGCTGGGAAGATGGTCATTTCCTGGTATTGCTCCAGAAAATACCAAACTACTAAAGCCATGCTCCATTTTCACAGCTGTCAGATCAGTTCAAAAATTGAATATTACTGCCATATCTGGGCAGTACCTGCCCAGTCATCACTGTCCAGCTTTGACAGATTACTAAAGAATTTACACGGTCTTGTGGCTGATGAATTATTTTCCACCCTGCAAGCCTTAACCCACAGATGAAACATTGCTAACCTTCTAATACTCTATCGCTATTACGAAGACAAATGTTACATTCCATAGCCCCACCAACTCAGGCCTTCACAGCTAGGACTGGCTATCCCATGTTCACGGTGACAAATCATCTCTATACCCTTCATGTTACTTTAATAATGAGTAAGTATTGGAATTTTTGGGTACCCTGGTGTACTAGAGGGCCAGCCAAAATTAGCTGACTCATTTTATAGTTCACCAATAGAAGGGTTAACCAATCAGAAGGCTCAAAATATTCAATGCGACGTGTATAAAGGCGGCCATGTTTTTTTCCCGAATATGCACTGCCAGCCTTTGATATCGAAGACTGAAGAATTACAGAACAGCTGCTGGTGGTATTGGCGATATAGTCAGATCCAGTAGAGTGTCTGACTTGTGAGTGTTAATCTTTAATGTTATTTCATTGAACAGATTACGTACTGCGCTGTATTCTATATTCATAGACTATAGTGAACATGGTCAACAGTAAGTTCCACTCAGACAGCTTCATCCCCAGACCTTTGTGGAACAGACTCCTGATCATTACAATCTCAACTTCTTCAAGTATAGGGTCAATCGATATATATCCTACATATTCAATGGCAAATGTTTAAGTGAGCTACATTTCTAAAGTCCTGCCAGTTCAGACCTTCACAGCTTGGACCAGCCATGTTGTTTATATGGCGTCAAATCATCCTCATTTTCATCCCTTTTCTTTGGTAAGGAGGAATTTTCCCATAGGCAGCTTCTTCCTAAGAAGTGTCATATTGTGGAACAGGATCCCGAGAGGATGTTTCCCCAACAACTACAATCTTCACATCTTCAAGTCCAGGGTCAACCGATCTTCTATTCTAGATATCTTATGAGGACAAATGTTAAGTTAAATTCCTAAGCCCCACCAACTCAGACCTTCACAGCTAGGACTGGCTATCCCATGTTCATGGTGGCAAATCATCTCCATACCCTTCATGTTACTTTAGTAAGGAGTAAGTTCTACTTAGACAGCTTCATCCCCGGAACTTACTTTGTGGAACAGACTTCTGATCATTACAATCTCAACTTCTTCAAGTATAGAGTCAATCGATATATATCCTACATATTCAATGGCAAATGTTTAAGTGTGCTACATTTCTAAAGTCCTGCCAGTTCAGACCTTCACAGCTTGGACCAGCCATGTTGTTTATATGGCGTCAAATCGTTAGGAGAAGACAGCGAGCCACTTACCTGACAGGGTTGTGTAAATGGATGATGAAATGGGAGGTGGGAGTCTAAGCAAAAAACTTCTAAGAGCTACATGAGATAGGAGGTTGTGGAAAGCCATGATCGCCTATGTTCTGAAGGGACACAACTTATAGAAGATGAATAAGCATTAGCAGTGGTGTTCTAGTCTATTAAGATTACTATGCTTGTGTATTTGGTAAAGTACTTCAAGATATGCACTGTTCCAAACAAAATTGTTTACTATGGTCCCTTGGTGAATGCAGTACCTCAATCAGTGAAAGACTAGCTTGTATCATTGAATACCTCCAAAACAAAGCTAGTAATGTTCCATCATCATAAACAGAACCTAATTTTTTTCCAGTCTTGATAAACAGTTGTACATTCAATGAGCCTCCTTACCTTGAACATCTTTTAGGGTTCAAGTTCATTCCAAACCTTGAGTGGGACACATATATATGAAACATCCCTAAAGTTACTGGAAAATTGGTCAGTTCCTTGTACTACCCAGAAAGTACTTGATTCCTCTTGCCTTAATCCATATCTCATTGAAAAACTGGTTTCTATGTAACCACTGAAGTTAAGCAACATTAAGTCTGGTCAGTACCTAGATGCCTAAATGCTTACAAATACCAGATGCTGTAAGCTTGGATGTTCAGGTGGTGTAATGGATAACAGCACAGAATTGTAAATTGGAGAGCCAAGTTCAAGTTGGGTTTGTTATATTCACTTAAATATAAATGCCCTGGCGAAAAGTATGAATCCGCCTTTCCTCTCCTTAGCTATGGGTTAATTAGTAGAACTTGTATTGGTAAAAATCATTATTATCTCAAAACATTCTTACAATCTAAAAATAATTTCTGGCTTTAGATAACTGATAAAAGATTGATAAGCCATAAATCAAATTAATCTATCAATCTTGCCCTGATCTGTCTTTACAAGAGGCAGATCAGACCAAAAATGGACTATTGCTGTTATGTCTGGAGCTAGCCTATCTTCCCTTTCCAACCTTGACAGAGTTCAAAAATACTTACACAGCATTATAGATGATGAATTATTTTCCACTCAACAATCATTCCCGACAGACGAAACGTCGCAAGCCTTTTGCTGCTCTATTGCTATTTCGATGGAAAATGTTCAGATGAGCTACATTCCTTAGTTCCACCATTTCAAACCTTCCCAGCTAGAACTAATGTACACAGAGGTCAAATCATCCACACTCCCATTGTTAAAGAAGAAGTTCTACTCACGCAGCTTCTTCGTTGGGACTGAAGATTCTTCCCCTGTTTTTGTGATCACAAGCTCTTCAAGTCTAGGGTTTATTGCTATCTATCCAACATATCCTTATAATATGGACTTTTATTGCTCCCTTTTATGCTCTCACAACAACTTCATTCATTAACCCTCTACATTGAGTGGCTCTTGGGTCTTGTAATTGGTGAACAATCGTATATAAGAAGAAAACAATCAAATTTTGCTCAATTTTTAAAAATCTGATTAATTATGGTGCATGGGATATTTAGCAGTAACAAATTAAGACTTAAAACATAAACTTGTAAGAAATTAAGATTTTAAACATAAAATTGGAAGAAAGAAAGAAAGAAAGAAAGAAAGAAAGACAGAAAGGAAAAAGAAGAAAGAAAGAAAGAAAGAAAGGAAAAAGAAGAAAGAAAGAGTGATAAGGAAAGTGTAGAAAAAAATGAAGAATGAATAAATTTTGATGAGTAAAGTGAAAAAAGAAAGAGTGATGCGGAAAATGTAGAAAGAATAAAATAATGAATGAATGAATGAATGAAGTGGTGATGAGAAAAGTAAAGAAAGAAAAAATAGTGACGAGGAAAGTGTAGAAAGAAAGAAAGAAAGAAAGAAAGAAAGAAAGAAAGAATAAAATAGTGATGAGGAAAAAGAAGAAAGACAGAAAGAGTGACGAGAAAAGTCTAGAACGGAAGAAAGAATAAATGAAGGAAATAAGAATGAGAAAAAACTAAAAGAAAGAAAGAAAGAAAGAAAAGAAAGAAAGAAAAGAAAGAAAGAATAAAATAGTGATGAGGAAAAAGAAGAAAGACAGAAAGAGTGACGAGAAAAGTCTAGAACGGAAGAAAGAATAAATGAAGGAAATAAGAATGAGAAAACTAAAGAAAGAAAGAAAGAAAGAAAGAAAGAAAGAAAGAAAGAAAGAATAAAATAGTGATGAGGAAAAGGAAGAAAGACAGAAAGAGTGACGAGAAAAGTCTAGAACGGAAGAAAGAATAAATGAAGGAAATAAGAATGAGAAAAACTAAAGAAAGAAAAGAAAGAAAGAAAGAAAAAGAAAAGAATAAAATAGTGATGAGGAAAAGGAAGAAAGACAGAAAGAGTGACGAGAAAAGTCTAGAACGGAAGAAAAAGAATAAATGAAGGAAATAAGAATGAGAAAACTAAAAGAAAGAAAAGAAAAGAAAGAAAGAAAGAAAGAAAGAAAGAAAGAAAGAATAAAATAGTGATGAGGAAAGGGAAGAAAGACAGAAAGAGTGACGAGAAAAGTGTAGAACGGAAGAAAGAATAAATGAAGGAAATAAGAATGAGAAAACTAAAGAAAGAAAGAAAGAAAGAAAGAAAGAAAGAAAGAAAGAATAAAATAGTGATGAGGAAAAGGAAGAAAGACAGAAAGAGTGACGAGAAAAGTCTAGAACGGAAGAAAGAATAAATGAAGGAAATAAGAATGAGAAAACTAAAGAAAGAAAGAAAGAAAGAAAGAAAGAAAGAATAAAATAGTGATGAGGAAAAGGAAGAAAGACAGAAAGAGTGACGAGAAAAGTCTAGAACGGAAGAAAGAATAAATGAAGGAAATAAGAATGAGAAAACTAAAGAAAGAAAAAAAGAAAAAAAAGAAAAGAAAGAAAGAAAGAATAAAATAGTGATGAGGAAAGGGAAGAAAAGACAGAAAGAGTGACGAGAAAAGTGTAGAACGGAAGAAAGAATAAATGAAGGAAATAAGAATGAGAAAACTAAAGAAAGAAAGAAAGAAAGAAAGAAAGAAAGAAAGAAAGAAAGAAAGAAAGAAAGAAAGAAAGAATAAAATAGTGATGAGGAAAGGGAAGAAAGACAGAAAGAGTGACGAGAAAAGTCTAGAACGGAAGAAAGAATAAATGAAGGAAATAAGAATGAGAAAACTAAAGAAAGAAAGTAAGATAGAAAGAAAGAAAGAAAGAAAAGTTGTGAAAGATAAGAATTAGATGGTAAAAAGAACAGCATGAATTTGAGAAGGAAAATACAGAAAGAAGTGTGAAAGCAAGAAAGAGAGAGTTAAAAAGCAAAAGAATAGAATGAAAACCTGAGTGAAAAAGGGAGATAAAAAAGAAGAGAATGAATGAATGATTGTGTAAAGCACAGAAAGCGAGAAAGAAGTGAATGAAAAAAAAAGACTGTGTGAAAGAGAAAAAGACAAAAAAAAAAAAACAGTGAGGGAGAGAAAGAAAGAAAGAAACCATGAAAGAAGGAGATTGAAAGCGAGAAAAGTAAAAAGAACGTCAAAGAAGTACTGACGGAAAAAGATGAAAAAGAGAAAGAAAGAAAATATCAGTAAAAGAAAGAGAGACAGAAATGAGGGCTTAAAAGAAAACCTGTGTTAAAGTGAGACGTCCAGGGAAACGAAAGTGAAAGAGAAAATTCGGAAATAAAATCAGGAAAGAAAACTTGACTTAAAGAGAGAGTGGGTGAAGGAGAGGAAAAATAGATAGTGAGAGAGGGCTTGAGCGAAAGAAAAAAAAGACAGAAAGAAGAAATGGATAGAGAAAGAGATAGGGTGAAAGAAAGCCAACGTGAAACAGAGAAAGAGAGAGAAGAGAGAGAGAAAAAAAAAGGGTGAAAGAAATACTGGATAGAAGAGAGACAGATTTTTTTTTCTCACCCCAAGCAAGGCGGGAAGCCACTAGGACGCAAGGAGTTACAGAAAATTTGGAGCAAGATCAGATAGGAGTGATAGAAGAAAGGATGAGAAGAAGGGTAGTGGATAGATCAAGGCAACTGGAGATGTCGATTGACATTACATTTGAATAGCTGGAGATTATAGCTCTCAGGGAAACTGGAATAGAGAAG